TTAAAAAAATAATCACTTAATCATTTTTCATAATTGAAATGTTGATTGGAATCTAAGGGTACAAACAATTCATCAAGTATTCACTGTACAACTTTTATTTATTTATTTTTTAACCAATTTATAATTATTTATAAGATTAATTAGAGAAAAAAAATATTTATTTTTTTAATCAATTTATAATTATTTACAAAATTAATTAGAAAAAAACAAAAATTACATAAAACTCGAAGGTGCAACTCACGAAGATATACTGACCTAACCCAAGCACAAAGTCACTGAGCCAGAGCCGTTTTACTGTATAACTTTTATTAATAATAAAAAAGTAATAGAAAAATAGAAAGTTTATATCCCACCTTCTTTGCATCAACTTATTTAGGGGTACGACTTGAGGATAAGGATACCTGGCAACCAGAACAGAAGAGAAGGGAGGGTTTGGGTTTGGGTTTGGGAGATCGTCCTGTCTGTTTCTGTTATTCAAAAAATAAAAAAAAATCTCTGAAATTATTTTCAATGGTACTGTATTTATTTAAATCCAATTTCATTAATTCCTTCATTTCATTCTTAATCATCGTCCCAAGTTTTGATTGCTGCGGATGATAATTTCAGGCGGATGAGAAGACGCAGAAGCAGCAGCTGAAGCTGTTTTCCTACTGGAGAAGCTCCTGCTCCTGGCGAGTTCGAATTGCCCTTAATTTGAAAGGTACAGGGTGGTTGGCATTTGGAAACTTGAATTCATCTCTTCTATCTATTTTTACAAATTATATTATATTTTGCAAATTGCAGGGCTTCAATGCGAATATATACCTGTTAACCTCGTCAAAGGGGAGCAATTCAGTCTGGTTAGTTAAATAAATATATTTGATTTCTAATCATACCATCATATATACCCTATTTCTCAATTTTCTTTTTTGGGCATTCTGTAGAATTCACTGAGCTCAATCCGATGGGATATGTGCCGGTGCTCGTTGACGGTGATGTTGTGGTGTCCGACTCTTTTGCTATTTTGATGGTCAGTCAGTTAGCTCTTCCTCTCCATTCTCCACTCGGCCCCTTTTTCTCTTATAATAACTGTTTCATTTCTTTGTTTTATAATAATATATGTTTTTCTGAAATCTAATCGGGCAATTGCAGTATCTGGAAGAGAAGTACCCTGAGCATCCACTCTTGCCATCTAATCTTAATAAAAGAGCAATCAATTATCAGGTACATAAATTATTCATTCTTCTATCTATCTATCTATCTATTACTATGTATATTGTTCCTTTATTAATAACGGACTTCAATTTAATTCATTGTTCTTTTTTTTAAGGCTGCAAATATCGTTTCCTCAAGCATACAGCCTCTTCAGAATCTAGCTGTACTGGTTAGTTAGTTAGTTAGTGTTCTCCTTTCCTTCTTCAAACTCAAGATGAATGATGCTTTTCTCAAATAAATATCGAAATTAACATAATATCTATTATATTATATTTACAGAAATATATTGAGGAAAAAGTCAGTGCAGATGAGAAACACACTTGGGTCACATACCACATTACCAAAGGCTTTCAAGGTAATTAATTGCCAATATTCAACATCATTTAAAAAAAAAAAAAAAAAAACACGTATATGTTCTCATTCTGATGCTTACTTTCTCTGTATATGGAATTCAAGGCCTGAGCTTGATTTGCTTGTTTATTTCCAATTTCTACTGTGTTTCTTTCAGCACTTGAGAAGCTTCTAAAAGACCATGCAGGACGATATGCAACTGGAGATGAAGTCTTCTTGGTTTGTTTCTTTTGCTCTTGTTTTTGCACCCTTATAGTATTTTATGGAGTTCACAATCAAAGCTACATATACTTTCCCACAGGAAGTTTTGGCAAATTAGAGGTTGGGGTTTTAGTCTTACCTTCAACCAATTTGGTTTGTTACTTTTCTCTCACTGCAGAGTATGATGTCGAAGGTATACACCCACTTTTTTTTTTTTCCCCTTTATTTTTTGGGGGGAGGAGGTGGCAATACGCCTTGCTTCAGTTTTGTTCTCAAATCATGGGTCTAGATATTTCAAGAAAATGGTCCAACCATTGTCAAAATGATAGTTTTTTGACATACTATTCAATAATGTTTTTGATATCAACACATCACTGTCTGAGGTTCATTAGGTGATTTTCTTTAAACTTCAGTTCTAATAGCTCTGGAGGACAAGAGATTTTGTGATAGCATTTAACCTGGTCTCATTAATGTGAGATGTCTCAAACCTAACAGGCTAACTTTTGCAGGCTGATTTGTTTCTAGCACCACAGATTCATGGAGCAATTAATAGGTTCAATATTGACATGGTAATGCTCGTTGCTTGAACTTCTCTACCAGTTTTACACTTAATTGATTTTAGTTAATTTGAATGTAACTTAGGCCATTATGATGCAAATAATGACTTGTAGTTGCAGATATCTTTGATCTTGTGTGCTGTTTCTTCATCCTTTTAGGACAAACTTGCGCACTTGTAGGATATTTGGCTCCATTATTAGTTTTGTAGTGTTACTATTTACTACTCTACTATTCCCGTCTAGTTTTCCATTGATTCTGGTAAGGATGAGGAAGTCTGACTTTAGGGTTTTACATTTTGTTGCCTTTCATTCTGGACACCTTCAAAGTCTCCTTTCTTCTACCATCTTTTTGCAGGTTCAGTTCCCTCTCTTGTCTCGGTTGAATGATGCATACGTTGAGCTGCCGCCATTTCAAGATGCGATGCCAGAGAAGCAACCCGATGCTCCTCCATCAGTAGTCAGTTAACGATGTCTTATTTTCAGCGACCGTATGGGATTCAATGGATCTTTTAAATAGGTGGAGATCCGAAGTAAGGCTGCAAAATTTCGTAACTCTGCAGAAACTTATGGAAGTGATGGAATAAAGTTGTAGACTATATAAATATATGTAGTTTTTAAGAGCATATGGAATGTTTATTTACAATAATAAAGTACAACTTCTGTTGTAGTAATATGAAGGTA